ACAGAGTTTGATGAACTTAATCATTTTCAAAATGTGGATTACGCAATAAAAAGCTTCCGTCACGGTTTCAGCATATGAAACATATTAATTTGACAAACATTTAAGCTGTGCAAAAATACAAAGTTCATATCTGGCATACATGATTTTGTGTAACAATTGGGGAGCAAAGGGCGCCTGTCGCTTCTCCAAAAAAAAAAAAAAATTAGCTCGCCATTTTGCACGCTCAATTTGAGGCAGTCAACAGAACGTTGACACCGCCGTCGAGCTGGCGACGCTTCAGATGTCCACTCGGCGCAGTAAGTGCTGGAGGGGAGGGCAAGGGAGCGCTGCTAGACGGACAGATAGTTAAAAGTGTGGAGGACAATTTGCAACACATGTCGGGGCGGGCAGACGGACGGCGAGACGGACAAAGGGCGTACCATATGGCAATTCATTGCCTATTAAATTTAGCAATTTCTTTTGCCTTCCTCTCCTCATTATTATTATTTTTTTTTTTTTGGGCAGATTTTAGTATTTTTAGTAGAAGTAATCTAAAAACAATATTTATTTTAAAGCGCTGAGTGCACGGAGTGCCCTAATCAGACAGTTAACGGCACTTGAACCAGGCAAACACACACACACACACACACACACACACAAACATGTACAGACACAGAGAAACAGGATTTAAGCTGCAACAATAATAAATTTTCTAGCAAAAAAGAAGGAATTGAAAAATATCTTTCGCTTGAAAAACGCGCACTCCTAAAAATGCTGATAAGGCGAAATATGCGCACGCACACAGACACACACAAGCACACACACACATGGAACAGCTCGCAATCCAACACAAATACAGCGCTGGCGCTGCTCTGCTCGCTGCTCGCTGCTCACTGCTGCTCTCTCATGAATATGCATGCGGCGACGCTGCGTCGCTGCTGGCTCCGTTGAGCCAATAAAGCGTAGACTCACTTACACACACACACTGACACGCAGTGGGCGCACACACACATACACACAGGCATGCACAGACGAATGCGCAGCGAATGGTAGGCGTGGCCTGCACTGCACACATAGCCAAGCAGCAATGAGTGAGAGAGAGCAAGAGCGCAGCAATGGCGCATGCATTGCACTGCTTGCACACTGCACTGGCAAACAACGAGGCCGCCTCGTGCTCGCTTCTGTCGTTGGACAGTAAATTGGGGTGTACGCGAAGGGGGGTGGGTGCTGGGTGCTGTGGGCTGTTACTGGGGGTGGGGGTGGTTGTGGGTGGGTTGGCTCGCTCGATATTGGCCACTCATTAAAATTTATGATTTGTATATGGTTCGAGCTCTCATTATGCATACATAGTTCGTTCTTTTTTTGCATAGCCAATTTAGCAGTTTAGTTGTAGATACAAATTTTTAGGTATTGTTGTTCCAAGAAATTTGATGTGCTTAATGTGGTTGAAAAGGGGTTGCCGGCGCTGCACGCAGCTGGGAAAATTTGCGCCATTAGTTTAATCATAATAATCATAATCGCAATCATAATCATGGCGAAAATCTTCCGGTCGTCTTTAGCCATAAGCAGCGGAAATTCATGCCAAGACGACGGCGGCGCTAAGTCGCCCAGCTACCTGAAGATGCCGCCTAATTCCTGGCCAGCAAAACACCAATCACCGGATGCTAATCATCAATGCTTAAGCGCGCTTGATCAGCAGGGGAAAACTTTTTTGCTTTTGCGCGGGGTTGGCATGTTTAGACTTTAATGCGCGCCGCGGGAATTCTTAATGAAACCTACAGACATTCGATTGGGTATTTCCACGGTTCACCACGGGCTTAGCTGCCCAACACTTACCTGAACTCCGAACTGGACTCCGTACTCCTGTCCGTGCTACTCGTGCTACTTCATATGGTCGGTTTTCCCCCCCTGCCGGCTGCCGGATCGTGATAATGATGATGATGATGATGCTACTGCTGAAGCTGTGCTATGCGTCCCCTGGCTGGTTGGTTTACTTATGCCGCGCGTGTCCTGCGGTTTTGTGGCTTATTTGCGGTTTTACAGTTTTTATTGCCCAGCAGCCGTCCGGCCCGCTGGTTGTGTGGGAGTTGCCGCCGCATCCTGGTCTCGCGCTCACAGGCTGCGGGCAATGGGAGCGTTGAGGTGTGGACTTTTTGCCTAAGTGATGAGCCGATGCTTGAGTTTTATGCACATTTCCGGGAAATTACTCTATTGAGCTCAACTCCCGTTGGTTACACTGAAATTAAGCAAATATTGTACATCATTAGAATTCAGACAGATTTTATTATATTTCTATATATTATGTTTCCTTTTTGTGACCTGAACCAGCCCAAAAAAAAAAGTACAACAAGGAAAGCTCGCCAAATCCAGCATTAGTTAAACAACTTTTATAATATTTTTAAAATATTTGTTTAAAGTTCTTTTTTTTACTCTGAACTAACAGCAACATTTAATCAGGGCCCACATAAAACTGTCTGTTTTATGTTCTATTTACCTTCGGACTTTACTCAAGCGAGTGTCATAAAGTGCTCACTTGTCTGGATCTGGTACCTGATAGGCTATATATTCATTCTGCAAATCGTGAATGCTGCTGCGAGTCATTCACATGCACCCATTGAATAAATGTGTTATACCTGCCCGAGCATAACTCGAACACTTTTTGCATTACGGCGCTTAATTCATTCATAAAACGGGGTCTCCAATGCCGTCTCCCGAGGTATTCCATTCAAAACTCCAACTTGTCTTGATGTTGTTGTTGTTGTTGTTGTTGCAGTTGCTGCTGGTCTAATGTTTATTTTATAAATATTCGATGCCATGTTATTCGAACAAGACTTTTGTTTATTTATATGGGGAAATACGCGCGACATACTCGAGACTTTGTGTGTGTGTGAGTGTGTGTAAACGATTCGAATTGAAAATTGCCAATAGAATTCTCTATGAATATTCTTTATAGAAGATATTTTTCGTGTTCCGTTCGGACGAACAGATTCTGGAACCCGGCAATTTGCTATGCGCGCCTATCAAAACATTCGCCAGTTGAAAATCCTGGCGAAAAACGTTTTTAATTTCGCATAAATTTAAAATAAATAAAACTCGTTTCGAAAAATTTAAAAAAAAAAGAAAATGAACTGAAATGAAATTGTTTATTTTAACGCAAAGAAAAATGTTCGTTTTCTCCATTATTTTTTTGCACAAAATAAAAATTGTTCAAATCATTTTATTTATTTATTTATGCAGCCTGCTGCGGCTGCTGTGGCTGTGGCTGTGGCTGTGGCTGCATCTTTGAATTTGGTCGGGTCGGGTTTGGTCCTGGTTCGATTTGGGTCCTGTTCGTGTGTTTACTTGACGCACAAATCCTCTTACGCCGGCTCGGCGGCAGCTCTCAGCTCTCAGCTTTCGGTTCTCTCGGTTCGATTCGCAACGGAACGAAAAGGACAATTGCATGTTTTGATTGCCGCCTGCAATTGTCCTGGCAACTGGCTCGTCCAGCGCGTCCTGCCTGTGCACTTGTGACAATATTTTCATAATTTTTGCATTTTTTTTTTTTTTTTGCTGCTTCTGCTGCTGCCGTTGTCATCGGCGCATCGCCAGCGGTAGGTGCGTGTGTAAACATTAACTTTTCAAGAAGATTTAATCCCGATTATCCTTTGACTGTACAATTTTTCACTCAGCTAAAGTTACCTCGACTGCCGTTTCCTCTGTTTACCTTTCGGTTTTGCCAAGATTTTGTCTCTCAGCCTAGTCCTCATCCGCATCCCCGTTCTCGTCGCTGGCGATAATTATCAATGGCGACGACTTCTTGATGCGATTTCTGCTGCCTTTCCCTGGCCCGGACAATGGCCAGGACTTTGCGCTGTGTTCCATTTGACTCTAGTTGAGATTTTAATTTGCCCATAAAGGTGAGACAATTAACTGAATAATTGGATTGCTAATCTCATGAACAATGTGCCGGGGCATGTGCCTTGCAATTAGATACATTTTACGAGCCGAGCATTATTATCCCTTGAGCTGGTTAGTTGCCTTGTGGAGAGGGTATTTGTCAGTGGACCTAATACAATTAAACTTCACACTGATTTGCATATTAACAGGATATTTAATTATGTGGTGTATGTTTATTCCAATTCCAATTCAAACTTCAAGTACTGAGCCGCCCATTGCGAAGAATCAGACTTAACCAAGGACTCGTTTAATTTGAGGAAATGGTTAAACATACCCTTTCGGAACGGACGGACTCGTTTAATTTAAGGAAATACTCATAGATTTGTTTATATAAAAGTCTGGGTATATAAATGCATGCTACATTTATATAATGCCTGACTTTACCCCCATATTCCACGTTAACTTGATTTCAGCTCCTGCGCAGTGCTGCCAGATTGTTAAAAACGGAATTTAAAATTCAGTTACAATTAACGGCTAGTTTCAACCAGTTGCAATTAAGCAGCGCACCGCTAAGCAGCGCACTGCTTGCGCACTCTGCTTACATAACGTATTTCTCAATTTTACGCAGTGCAGCCAACTTCACGGTAAACAAGTTTCGAACACACTTGAAGTTGGCTGCACGCAAAATTGACTCAACTGAAGCAAAATACGCGCATTTTTTAAATATTTCGAATATAAGATTTTGAAAAAATAGTCAATTGTTCCTTACGATTATAAAACTTGAATTGTAAGATTTGAATACTAGTCCCAACTGAAGACTGTTTAAGCTTTTTTATCAGAAAATTATCTCAAACAAATAGACATAAACACGATAAAAGAAAAGAAAAACAAACAGAATCTTAATCTTAAATTCTTGATATTTGCAAATATATATTTAATAACCCGTGTTTTACAGAAGAATCAGCTTATAAGCAAAGGATAGTATGCAGCAGAGGGAAACATTGACAGAAGATGTACCTACGTAAATACGCTGGGTACAGGGCATCTGCTAGTCGAGTACGCTCGGTTACCTGTTTTTCGTATGCATGGTTATGCATATTTATTTAAATTTGAACAATTTGATCACAAATAATGCTTGACTATTTGCTTTATAAATACTTGCTAATTATATGATATATTTTATTTGATAAGAATTCCTTGGATTACGCACTAAGCAACTAACTTTGTCTGCAACTACTTAATAGCTAACATTAAACTTGATTATCCTTTGAGGTAATAATGCAAAATAACTCATACACACGTTTGCATGTACGGTAGTAATGCCCAATAAGATCGGGCCGCACTAATTCGAATATTTGATTGTCTCGTAGTAGCCGCCGTTCACCGAGGTCGGGGGCGGGGTCATGGGCGTCAGGTAAACCGGTTTTAGATCGATGGGCGAGCGATCTGTGCCATGGTTGCCCGATTGCGATGGCGGCGGCGTCATGCTTCCATGATGATGACCATGATGCGGATGATGCGGATGATGCGGATGATGATGATGCGACTGCGACTGTCCCGTCTGGATTGAGGACAGGGCGGGCAGCTGCTGCAGCGACATGGAGCGCAGACCTGTGAAACCAGCCGAGAACGGAGGAGGAGAACAACAAACAAGATGCGATTAAAAAGCGTTTCGTTTTATGATCCGGCGTTAAAATTCACACACACAGCGCCGCGACGCCGACGTCGACGTCGACGGCGGCAGCGGCAGCAATAAAAACGCTCGACATCGACGGACGGACGGGCCATGTGCCATGTGTTGCTATGCGCTGGTAATCCGAGATCCGAGATCCAAATGCCCAGCACACAAACACAAACACAAACACGCACACACACACACACACACACACACACACACGTTCAACGTGAACTCAGCCAGCAATAAGCTGGCTCTGATTGACAGGAACACCCAGGCAGACTGACGGACGGGCGGTGGGGCACTTACCGTTATCCAAGCCGCTGCCACTTGTTGCATAGGAGTAGCCCGCCGCCACGAGACTGGCGGCTGGCGCATAATCACTTTGAAGTGCCGACACCGGCGAACTGGAGGGGCCCGCCGTCGAGGACATGCCCAGCGCCGAGTGCGCCAACGGCGGCGTGGGTGAGCCATTCAGATTGTTGCCCACCGACGTCAGGCAGGTTATGTTCGAGTACTGGGGCAGTGTGCCCACGGCCACAGCCGGTGCGCCGCTGTGCGCCGCATGCACGTTCCAGGCATCGCCGAAGCCCTGAGCCGCCGTGGGACCTGCTCCGGCCGCAGCGCTGTAGTCGTAGCTGGCATACGTGGGCGTCGCATAGAAGTTGGCCGTATCCTGGAAGGCATTTTGTAAGTGTAAGGATCACAGTATGGAATGGCTTCACACTTGGCTTACCATGCCCGCATCCGCGTAGCTGCCGCTGTAGAAGCTGTTCGGATTGACCGCATAGGTCTTGACCTTGATCTTGGAGCGATAGCCGCGCGGACGACGTCGCAGACTGCCCTCATCCTCGAACAGATGCGCCGAATTCTCATCAATGGTCCAGTAGTTGCCCTTGCCGGGCTTGCCCACGCCCATACCCTTGGGCAGCTTCTTGAAGCACTCGTTCAGGCTGAGATTGTGACGCACCGAGTTCTTCCAGCCAACGTAGGGTCCGCGAAAGAATTCATAGCTGCCGGCAAACAGATAATGCTAGTTTATTTACTTGGTTTCAGCTGCCCAACTCTCCCTCCATATCCACCGCCCAACCTCCATGCCCGATCCGGTCTAATGAGCTTTGGGTGTCCGTCACAAAAGCCAATTAAAGATTTTCGGACGCAACAACAAACAAACGACGTCAGCGCGAAATCCTCTCACGCATTCACGCGTTGTCAAGTCCCAGCCACGCCCCGCTACGCCTCGTCTCTCTGGTCTCTGTCTGGTTCCCAGTCGCGATTGTCGCCCATTATCCAAACATATAAAGTGCCATGCGCTAAGAAATATGAGCAATCAAAAGGATGCGCTGCGGCTTGGGCCCGGCTTGATGTGGCCCGACTTGGCTGCGCTTCAGTCGGGGCTTGGGTTGGGGTTGGGGTTGGGGTTGGGGGAGCTGCTCATATTTTGTTGACTAAATAAAATCGGAGGCAAGTAAATAAACGCCAGCGACACACATGAAAATCGAAACACTTTTAGGTGCCTCGCGTTGCCGGTTGCCAATTCTACCCCACACCTCCACCCCCTACCCACCCGCCGATCTCCCCCAATCCCACTCTCATGTCGACTGTATCTGTGTCCGGTGCCCGGTGGCGGGGTGTCGATGTCGGTAATGGGTCCCAGCACGTTACTTGAGCCCGCGCCGCCGCCTTCGTCGCTTGGGAATGCGACGATCGATAAATGTCAAAACGGAGCCATTTTAGGGGCTTTAACCAGATACCAGATACCTGTTAATTTCGAAGCGTAGCAACTAAGAAACAACTAACTAAACTAAGTTCTTTCTCTATCTATGCAACAAATGGTTGTGTGCTGTGGTCGGGAGTGCTCAACTAGAAGATGCTCTGCAGCAAGCTAAAAGCTTTCTGAGAGAAGTATTTGGGACTGAAAATGGAAATTCTGTAGCTCTAGGAGAGTTTAATTAAACAGCATCTGTGTAGGCTATACTAGATTGAAAAGCTCGCGAGAGAGATAGCCTACATATTATTGAGTAAAAGATAGATAGATATCGCAGCTAGCCTTTCCTAAAGATGACTTAGGATATTCGGAATAACTTTTATCTTAGAGCATAGCTCTTGAATTTTTCCTGATTTTTTTATATCATATAACCCATAGATAATGTATTTGGCCTTTATGTATTCAAATTTTTTGAGAAATTTATAATCAAGTTTATCAGTTGCCTATGGAATATATCTTTTCCAAGAGAAGTTTCATAGAGTTATGGGTTATGGGTTATTTCCTTGATAATATCTTACAATATATCTTTTATTAAATCTTTAACAAGATCTGTGTGATTATATCTTTGATTGAATCTTTGGTTGTAACTTTGATAATATCTCTGATTGTATCTTTGATTATATCTTTAGCTATATTTTCGCTTATATCTTAAGCATCTCATATTATACGCATGGTCATATTCAAGTTCTTAGAAATTCTGTTAGAATGAATATATCTATAATTTCTTCAATCCCAACATTTACCAACAACTTTTTGTTTTCCGATAAGGCAATCTTCTGTGGCCCCGTCTTGGACATTGACGATCCCGCAAACATTAAAAGCCTCTCAAGCTCTTAAGCTCAACAACATATGTTCCCTGAAACTGGATACACTCCATTTGGAGGCTCAATCTCAAGTGGCCCTTTTGCGATTATGTCAAAGGGGAACTCGGATTCCCATTCCGTTTTGAGAGAATTCTATATGTTGGACCCACCTCTTTTGCAGATATGCATAGATCTCGCTGAGCGTCAGCTTGCCCGTGGGCGACTCCTTGATGGCATGTCCGATCATATTGATGTAGCTCAGGGCTGGCTTCTCCGGCCGACGTGTGCCCGACTTCTTGGTCGTGTCCGGCGTGCTGTTATCCTGTGCACTGGAGCCCGTCGCCTTGGACTGCGCCGCACTGGAGCTCTCATGTGTGGCATTCGTTGGCGTCGTCTCGGAGCCGTTGAGCGACTTGGCTGGCGAGGAGCTGGCGCTCGAGTAGTTCAGGCCATGGCCATGGGCATTGGCTATGACCTGCGTGGGCGAGGACGAGATGCGCGGCAAATAGCTGCCGGACACCGGAGAGTTCTGCTGCTGCTGCTGCTGCTGTTGCTGCTGCTGCTGCTCCGCCTCGTGCATGGCCAGCTGATGATAGTCATTGGCGCTCAGTATGGTATTGTTGGAGCAGTACTTGATCGTGGAGGTATACTGATGATTCATCGGCTGCAGCTGCAGCGGCTTCACCACCGACGAGCTCACGTACATCTCCTGATCGGTGGGCGTCTTCGAGCTGGAATTGGGTGATACCGAGCCCACCGAATGTGCGGTCATTAGCACGCCATATGCTGGAATTGGACTCGAGGATGCCGGCGGCGTGCCCATGCTGTGCAGCGCACTCAGCCCGTAATGCTGCTGCTGTTGCTGCTGCTGCTGCTGTTGCTGTTGCTGCTGCTGCTGCTGTTGCTGCTGCTGTTGGGCTGTAGGCGTGACATTGCCCGCGGCATCCACCGTGGTTGCATAGAACTTGCGATCCATGTAGCTGATGTTGGGCTTCTCATCAACCAGGTCCGTGGGTGAATCGCCGCCCATCAATTGGAAACTGCCAGCGGGCAGCGTGTTCCCAGCGCGATACAAGTGTGTGGGTGTGTGATGCGTGAAGGTGTGTGCGTGCGGATGCGCGTGTGTGTGCTGTGCGCTGCCCAGGTGATGGTGCGGATGATGGTGATGATAGTGGGCGCCACTGACAAACCCGCCCAGTTGATCAACGCCCATTGTGCGGCTGTTTAAATCGGATGCCACTTCTTCACTTTTGATCATTTTCTTTAATAGAACTATTACGTTTTTATTTTCTTTTATTTTCTAGTTGGACACAACGAAGCCTTGGCGTTTTTTTTTTTTTTTTTCTTATTTTCTTAACAGTTTTATCCGTTCCGCAATGGATAGAACCGCGCGGCTTCGCTTTACTCGGCTAACTGTAAACTGTTTGCGTTCTCAACGCGTGCGTTGCTCTCATTCTGCTCGGGCCGCGGCGACGCTGCGATCCTACGACCCGGCTCTCCACTTGAATCTGTGTGTGTTCTTATTTTAGTTCGCCTACGCCTTACGCTCATTCTCTCCCACGCTCTCTTTTTGTGTGTGCCTCTCAGTCCAATTTGACTTGCAGCTAATTGGCTTGGCTTTTGTTCAGCTAACTGTTCGCTCTCTTCTTCTGCTCGCTCTCTCTCTCTCTCTCCCTCTCTCTGTCTGTGACATGACTGTGGTAATTGTTATTGGAGCCTGGTCTATGCATTGGCATTCGAAATATCCAGGTACAGGGAGTGGGAGTGGGCGGCTAGGTCTTAAGTGGGAATTACAGCAATTTGAGAGAGCTGCGTGTTGTATGGTGATTCTTTTATCCATTGGAATATACATACATATATATATATGTGCATGTGTGTATATAGCCATAGGCTATATACATAGAGAGTATGACAAAAACTGGGCTGCTTATAAAAACTTGATTTTCCATAGATTCTTCCCTTTGGAAGCTTATTGTAGCTCGATCAGGTTATAGATATAGATAGATAGACCGTTTGATCAAGATAACGGAATGGAATGGAATGGGCTTCGGATTCAGATTTCCCCCTCTATAAAATTATTTCAAGTTTTTATAACTAGTTTTAGCTCTAGAAAGAGTTTCAATTATGCAATCGAGCAACTAAAAAGTAGAAGAAAATACCATATCGCTGTAATTCTCAACGAGTTCTCAAGGAGTTTTGGGCAGCCACAATGAGTGACACATCATTAGCATTGAGTTGTCTTAGCTCCCGTCGAGCGTATATTGGTCTCCTGTGCCTAGCACAGTCAACAGTTAATAAATAGTCGAAAAACCCCGAACTCGAAACCCCAATTACTGCGAATGAATTAACATTTAGCATTCATGGAAAGGAAACAAACCGTTCGCTGTTCGCCGTTTGCTTCCAATGCTGGCGGCATTCAAACGAGCTGTTAATTGATTTAGTCGTTCGTACGGCTCGGCCCCGGCCCCGGGTCCGGACCTGGATCTCACCGCCTCCAGCTGGGGGTTGTGTGTCTCGTAGCTGCGCCCTGAGTGCCGCCATTGCTGTCAGCACTACGCCGACTCGCGACCGTGACGACGACGTCGACGACGACGATGGCGTCGCGGCCGCTCTCCGCTCTTCGCTCTCTGCTCTCCACACGCATATTTTGTTGTATTCTTCTTCATTATTTTTCGGTGCGCAGAGATCGAGCAACGTTTCAATCCCCAAACAGCACACACACACACACACACACACACACACGCACAGCTAGCGAGAGACACACGGAGGCGGAGTTTTGTTTACATTAAACGAATTCTATTTGTCGAACGCGTCAGGCACGATTGGCGCTGCTGGCAGAGGCAACAACAACAACAACAACAACGCACATTTTGTTAGCTATATAATTTTTTTTTTTTTTGTATTTCGTGCGGCCTGAAAGATATTTTAATTCCTTTTTGCAAATATATCACAAGCAGACAATTTTCCAAAGCACTCGCCATTTGCAGAGTATTTCGTGGAAACCGCAGACAATAACCCCAAAGGCAACAACAACAACAACAACAGCTACAAATTGGGCAATTGCAGAACATTTTTCAGCGCAGCATTTAAAGTCAATGGGCTAACCACAAGACACACACACGCACACATACAAATGTAAATACAGTGAAAGCTGCCTTGGACGATCGAAGGGTTATATTTGTACGCTCTAAAGCAGAGTACGCCTATTGGAGGGTAAATTGACCATTATCATTTAAGCTTTCCGTTCAAGAGGGTCGTCCGTTTGTTGAGTGTTCACTGTATTTATGTGCACAAGCCTTTGGCTAGCTGTTCGCTAGCCTCTGCGGACACAGGGGCTATAAATTATTTTTACGTTTGATTATTATTATTTCTTATTCGGGCTTTTGCGTGCTGTTTTCGTTGCTGGCCATCCAGAATTTATTTGTGAGTGAGGAATAAATTAAACAGGCATCGCGCACTGCGAACCGAACAATACAATTCAATACAATACAATATGCCATAGCTGGGCTGGTTGGCATCATGGCCACAGTTTAAATCTGGCGATTAATTAATTGCCCAGGTGTGAAGGAAGATTTCAAAGAAATCGCTCCGGTTAACAAATGACATTGGCCGCAGGCAGAAAAATTATAAATGCAAAAAATATATTACTCATAGCCGTTGCGATAAATCAATAAACAGCATTCCAGAAAATAACTTCAGTTCTCTTGGCTTAAATATATAACGAGAAATCGATTTTTTATTAAATTATAACAAAAATTGATTTCACATCATTTCGTTGTCGTTGGCAGAACATTTTCATTTTTGTCTTTACGTTTATATTTTATACAAAATTTTGTTTTGTCAGAAAACCCGCCACCCCTCCCTCTGTTGCTGCTGCTGCTGGGAAATTTCTTTGACATGACATCGCGCCTTGTATTTATAGCCAAATCGAATCCAATGCAAAGCCAAACTGTGCGTCATTTTAACTGGGTCAACAGTTCCGCCAAGATACATATATATATATATATATATATATGCAGGTTTGCCATTTGGTAGTCGGATTTTAATGCTGTGTGGTCCGTTGGAAATTGCCGAAACGAAACGGATACGGAAGCACGCCCATAACAAACAACAAGTCCGACGAGGGAATTCCCAAACAAAACTCGTCATCTTCTCCATTCAGTTTTCAAGTTCAAATATAATCATAATAAAGATAAGCATATACAATACATCTCTCTCTCTCTCTTGATATTCCTCTTTTTCTTGTTGTTATGGGCTTCTTGTACGGCGTTTGTTTTGCTTTTAATTTAATGTTAATGTTATTAAATGGCCAAATTGTTTACTATTATGGACGTTTGTAAACAAAATTATGTATACGACGCGTCTGCCGCAACAAGTTGAGTTGTAGTACACAATGCGGCCAATCCCATTGATACATCCTCTCTCACTCGCACTCACCCGCTCTAAATCGTACCGCCGTCTCTCTCTTACCGCGTAATGCAAAAGAACACCAAACAATACCAAATGCCGGCCATGGCCAGCATTGTTTAAACTTGCCTCGTGCTGTAGTTTAATAAACATCTAACAATTAAACACACGATTCCTTCGGGTCTTGGATAAACCTACCAGCCGCCTACCCCCCCCTCCCCCAACTGCTCCCCTCCTTCGCCCCCCTCTTTAGCTGCCCAGTTGTATACAAGTTGGAGCTGCGGCGCCTTTGTTTTTGCACACTGACCTACAACAACTGGGAAAGCAAACAATTGCAGCTTCCACGGACACGCCCTGCCACCTGCCCGTCCCCCAGCTCAGACGTTTATTAAACTGTTGATCCGCCGGACAATAAATAATCAAATAGTCCAAAATTCAAAATATTTACACACAAGCTGCGGCGCGCAAAAAATATGCCGTCTATAGTTAGGAATTTCCTTCTTATTCACACGCAGTTCCTTCCTCTCGTTTTTTTTTTTTGTTTTTTGCTATTGGTCTTTTGTTTAAATATTTACAATTTTGCTGTGCAAATTCTTGCTTAGATCTGGCCAAATAGTTGGTTTGCCTTTATGACTTTATAAGCACAGTCGCCGATTTGTTTATGCCCCAGCTTCTGTGCAGAGATTCAATCACGTGAGACGCATTTGCCGAAGAATTCAACAAAAAACCAAAATATCAAAATACAAACAATTTATATTTATTTATATATTTTTAAATAAAATACCACTTTCCTATGGCTTTGTTATTGTGTTTTTCCCACGACTTTAATGATGTTTTTTTATCTTTGGTAAATATTTATGAGATATTTTTACGCTTAAGTGGAGAATCGCCTTGGAGCTAATGTTTGGAATGGAATTGGTGACAGCCAAACCAAATAATTAATAAATAATAACAAACAGATCTGTAAAAAATTTGACAAGAGTAAGCTATTGAAAAAAATAAATACTATTATCTACAATAAATGTAGGCATAGAAAGAGAAGGATCCATGATTTATTATTACTATTCTCATAATGAAAGTATTTTTCGTATTGTCATTATTAATATTATTTGCTTCGTTAGGAATATTATTTTTTGAAAAGATGTGTGAGAAAGCTCTAATAGAAAATATTTGAATAAAGTTATTGAATTATTATTGTAATATTATTATTAATGTATTATTCGTATTATCATTATTATTATTGTTAATATAATCATTAATATCATTATTGTTTTTGCTGATTCTTGGGCTTTGAGTCCTAATGCTCACCATTTGATTGATCTCGAAGACAACTTATCGCCAGGCAATTGCAGGCGGACTCTTTCCAAATACGATTTGGCTCTTTTGTGGACCTTATATTCGAAATGCCAAAGTTCCAGATAAGAATTGAACAAATTACAAGGCTTATTCTCATCGCGTCTATCTATTTTCGAGTGCCTCGCGTCGCTGCTGTTGCCACACACTTGGCACTCGGAGCGGCGACAGGTTCTGGGGCGGCCATTAACACCTTGCCGTGCGATTACAATTTCAAAATGGCCGCCGACTTTTGCGCAAGATGGCCAATACGACGTGTGTTTGGCTGCCAGCTGCCATTGCCAAACTACTATGCAAACTGTGGCAAGACAATAAAAGCTACAGCACACACACACACACACACACACGGACACACAGTCACGGAAAGCTGCGGGAAGCCTGCGCCATTCAGCTGTCGAAGCTGGCGCAATAAAATTGAACAATTTATAGACTTGCGTTCCATTTGGTGCGCAATAATTGCGCCAAATTTAACAGAAATTAAGAAGAAGAAACCACACACACACACACACAGCCAAATTCTTTGCCAACAACAAAGCGCAAGACGTGCGATACGTCCGTCCGTCCATCCGTCCGACTGTCCGTCCGACTGTCCGTCCGTCTGTTTGTCGAAGCTCAGCAAAAGCCATTTTTACTTGGCACTTGGTTGGCATTGTTTAGCTTTTGGTTTAATAGCCGGCACTTAAAAATGCGTTGACTCACGGAAAGGTGAACGAGGAACATGGCAGGTGAAACGTGGCACAGGTAAACGAGTTGCAACAGGAAACAGATGCAGAACAACAACGAATTTATGACTGCGTTTTACGTGCTTTTCAACGTTCTTCAATTACAAATTTGGCTGTAATTAATCTTTAGTTGGCTGGTCAAACGCCTCGCTTGTGGCATGCGGCATGTGGCAGCGACTTGGTGGTGCTTGCTTCAACGTGCAACCGGACCACGATCTTCGAACTTTTGGCATCTGTTTCGTTTCAATTGACGCGTGTTGTCGTCATTGATTCTTGTGAATTTGCTGTTGCCTCTTGCCTCTTGCCTGTTGCCTGTTGCTGTTGCATGTTGTTGTTGCCTCTTGCCCGCTGCTGCTGCTGCTGTTGTCGCTCGCATATTTTGCTTTGTTCTTGGCCTTTTGTACACTTTAATCTGAAGCTTTTTCCGCCTTTCGGCGTTCTTTATTGGCTGGCCTTGCAGGTCGGCGCACCTGTGCGGCATGTGGCAACGGAAATGGCACAAGAAATCTGAACGCTGCGACTTATTGACAGCAAAATGCTTGAAGAAACTAGGCCACAAATTTCCATACAGTCAATGAAATATCTCAAGATCAAATACAGTAAGACCAGAGTAAAGTAAACCCAAGAGCTAGGAATCAATCGATCCATTAGATATATGTTTATATATACATTGGCTTCGCATCGGCTCAAGTGGCTCAGAGGGAGACCAATATGTAAATTTGGGTTAATTGTAGGCGACATCCTGACGCAGCAACAGTCCGTAATGATTATCCGGCGTAAAACGAGGCGCTGACAAATATTTTGACATGGCGTCGCCGAGACATTGTCGCTGTGGTTCGAGTCCACTTGATGCTCGGACCCGGGCAGCCGGGCGACCGGGCTAATGTGTGGTCGCCACTTGAGATCCGGTAGCGGGGTCGGGCAAATGTGAAACCCAATACCGAAAATTTCAAATACAAAACCCGAGCCACAAATCGAATTGAATGACATGTGTCAGTTGGGTAATTAATCTTGAGATTAATAATATAAATTACACCCGCCCAAAAAAAAAAAAACAACAGACTTTTATCCAGAAAATAAACTATTTATATATATAAAAAATAAATTCCAATTTTTAGAGGTTAAGAAAGAAAAATTAAGGTTACTTTGAACTTTCCCTAGAAATTCGACAATATCTTAAGATAGTTAGTTCCTTTAAAAAAAAAAACATCGTTCCATCAAGATTTTCGAAAACTGGAAAGATCAAGATCCCAGCAAGCAATGAAAACATTAGTCCATGTCATTTAGTGTACAGCAAGTTTTAGTTCAGTACATACATAATCGAGCTATCGTAGACATAAAATTGAAATTCCAAAAAAAATTAAAAACCAAAAAAAATTAATAATGAATCGTTTGATAAATATTTTGGTTTTAAAATTGACCGACAACTTGATAGGCAATAGTCGAACTTTGAGTGTATCCGGTAAGAAATATTACGCCGATAAGAAGGATCCCTGCAAAAAGGATGATCCCTGCAAAAAGGAAGATCCCTGCAAGAAGGAAGATCCCTGCAAGAAGAAGGATCCCTGCAAAAAGGATGATAAAGGCTCTGATAAAGGCGGAAAAGGTTCTAAGGACCAAGGCGGTAAAAAGGGCGGTTGCGATAAAGGTGCGTAACACAGAACATCTCGGATCTACGAATATGTATTTAACCTTTGACAGGAAATGTATCGACCGGTCCACGTTGTAAAGATGGTAAGGGTAAAAAGTAGACTCCCATCACGTGGGACAACAAGCAAGACGCGCTCTCCTCCATTCCAAATGTTGGGTATTTTTGGACACTGACCTGGCCTGGCGCCTTTGCAAATGTGCAAACGGAAGAGCAGTCCACATAATGGATCACAAATTACCCAAAACCCAAACGCAACATGAATCAGTTGTAGTTTATAGCTGGCCGAGCACACTGAGATCATAAAACCCAACGCTCGAGACATTATAAAGCCATAAAGCAACAAGTAAAATCGGCGCAAAACAAAAAAAAAAAAAAAATAGAAAGAAATCCCATAAAGAGTGAAACTGGCGCCGCATGGAAACTGTGAATTTCCATGCGAGAACGCCGAAGTCACAAGATATGCTGATCTCAAAATGGAAGCGCATAAAAATTTTTAAAATATATATAATTATTGCAAAAGCGAAAAAACATCTTTTATAATTATTGCATTGTTCGTTGGAATAACTGCATCGTATCGTCTGGCAGGTGCTTAAAAGCTCCCACGTAGCCGCATTGCTCGGATCTGGCAACCCGTCTGATCTGGCAACCATGACAAAAATATTCAACCGTTAGACTGCAGTAACGGGAAATTCATAAATTTCACACCCAGAGCCAAAGAAACCGTTTTTATGGCAATTCAATTGCACTGGCACTGATATTTGTTTCCTGCTGCTGCTGCTGCTGCTGCTGCTGCTTCTGCCCAGATCCGTGCACCCGTTCCCGGGCAGGTTGCAGCCGTATGGCCATATACGATTTGGTTTTCCCTATGCTTCATGTAAACAAATTCTAGACACGGGCCCGCACTTGTGTCGACTGCTGCCGTTTGCTGCCGTTCTGTGCCCAAGACTCAATAGTCGAAATTCTATTTTTCCTCATTTTCCCAGTCTTTTCGATCGATCGGTTTCTACATTTTCTCTGTGTGTGCGTGTGTGTGTGTGTGTGTGTGTTGCGCACATTTTTGTCTTGTTGGGCTCTCTGTATTTTGGATAATTATTACTTTTCTCAATGTAAACAATTTGAATGCTGCTAATTTTAGTTAAATACTTGCACATAATTCTTGATTTAACGATTTTGCGCCCTCGTTTTTGCCGGGAAATTAAACTAAACGGCCAGGCCTATCATTTAAACAGTTTGTGTATTAACTGGAATGTCGCAATTATTTCCAGTCTTGGTATTTTTTATTTTTAGTACTTTTGGGATTTTCACCTCTTTCAACGGACATTCACAAGTTTTGGTATTTATTTTCTGTAGTTGTCAGCTCATTGACTTGCTCGACGGCTTTGAAAAGTACCGAAAATCAAACGATTGACGCAGCCGACGATCGACGGGCGGTCGGGCATCCATCAAGCTGGAAGTGCTGTTGGGGGTGGAGGAGCTGCTGCTGGCATCTATAGCTGTTCCAGTTGAACAGCCGCCGTGTGTCTGTTCGACCTTTCAACGCATAAAAAGCCGCTGCGCAAAGTTTTCCAAAAACGAATTTTTTTCTTTTCAAATTATCGACGAAATTAATCTTAATCTTGAGTTTGCCCTGGCAATCTGGCAACACATGTGCTAAACGGTGCCTGCTTGAGTGTGTGGGCATAGGTGTGGGTACATGTGCATGTACACACACACACACACACACACGCACATACACATGTACATACATTTACATATATACATATCTATTTCAAGGCCTTGGCGTCCTTTAACTGTTGTTGTTGTTGATGCTGCTGCTGATTCTGCTGCTGTTGTTGTTGTTTGCTTTGGTTTTTGTTTTTGTGCGCGCGCCGATTGAAGTTTGTCCGACGCCGACGTCGACGTTCGTCAAATTTGTTGGCATCAGCAAACGGTTTTTATTCAACGCGAAACAGCAACAACAACAGCAGCAGCGACAGCAGCAATGCTGATGATGATGCCGATGACGAGCAAGACAGGCGAGAAAGAGGAAGACGGCATGCGCTTTGCATGCGCCGCCTTGCACTCGCGCGACTGCCACCAATTGGACCACCCAAAGCGTTGAGCTTCCGCGCTCCTCTTGCCTATCCACCCAATCCCCTAGCCCACCAACCCCTAACCACATAAATCCATATTTCTCTAGCTGCTGCTGTTACTGCTGCTGCTGCCAGCGTCGCGGACGCCGTTATACTTTTTACGATAAATTACAAAAGCAATGCTGCAATCATTCATTCATGCGGGGATCCCAAGCCCCCCGCTGCCGTCCTCAAGCGTGTTGTAAACATGTGTAAATCATGACCCGTTGATGGCCTCCACGTAGACAATGCGCTTGGGGGCGCAGGGCGCAACATGTGACGTTCTCGCCGCTGACGTTGCTACGTCGGCAACTTTTGCACTGCGACCCCAGCTCGCTTACAGTGCTTTTCCAGTTTATGTAGATAAATGAGTTGTGGAAAGCTGTTCCAGCCTGACAGCCGCGCTGCCAGATCTCATTCCATTCCAGTCCAGTTCTTGTTCGATTTCCAATAAGTACGAACGAATTTCTGAATGCAACTGCTGCCATTTGGCGCTGTTAGCTGTTGTTGGCCGCCAACGTAGTTCGACATTCCCATTCCCATAATCGTATTGTCCCAAAAGGCTAAAGCAAATATTATTTATTTGTGTGCATGTGTGTGTGTGTGTGTGTGTGCGCGCCTCCTCAGGCCCTGAGAACTTTATTCGGTTTGTGCGCATACGGTTTGCGGGCAAAGGCCGTGCACTTCCGAGCCGCACACATTTTTGTGGGTGTTTTTTTGTTTGTTTATACTTAAAGCGTTATTTCAATAAACATATCATGGCAAAGGGCAAATTTTTGATATTGAAATTTTGATACATTCTCAAAAATGTGCAGCCCAAATATGCAACTTTTTTTATGTTCCAACGACAGCCCAGAATTCTTACTATTTAAATGAAACCTAATAATTTGTTGCTTCCCTTAAGGTCTAAACTTACTGATTTTTTAATTATAATAATCACATACTTGAAGATAATCCGCAATATGTATATGCATATATTTATACATACTAACACACACATACACACATTCATATAGAAAACTAACGAATTATCCAACACACTTTTTTAACACAGTTTAATTTATTTAAATTCTCGAGATTACGCTTTATTATATCGGAAGCACTTCTGGTATACACATACATACATGCACACATGCATACGCACCTACTAGACTTGTGATGGACTTGCCAGACTGTCCAGTTTCCTCCATTGCTATGCTAACCTCCTCCTTCAGATCACCCTTCCCCTTATGTTCTTCTCATTTTAATCGTGTCACTTCTTCTTCCATTTGCATCTTGCTCTCACTGTTTCTCTTTGCCGCCTTTAAATGCTTTTTTGAAGATCGTTTTAGGTACGTTTTATTTAATTATTTAACTATTTATTTAGTTGACTATAACAAAGGTATAACAAAACATCATGGCATTATAAAACATACATACATATATGGACATACAGGCAAGTTTTGAAAGCTTGGCCTGCGATTAATATGATGTAACATGCACATACACACACGAGTATACGCCCAATCAGTCAGCATCTTAGTCAAATAGTGTTGTTAATATATATTGACACACATAATCAAAGGTTTTGCTAAAGATGTTTTCTTGAATTTCAAATAATTGAATTTCGATTTTTATAGCAGTCAGCAATTTGCAAGGCTTACGAAACGGTCTGGTAGCGTAGCAGCAGTTCATGCTGACGTCACACTTGCCATAATATACTGTGCTGGTAAATGCTCAACTATTCGGCGCTTAACAGCACTGACAAGCGCCGATCGTTTTCAGTGTGACCAACTGCTACGGCTTATTGGTGTTTTTTTTGGTATCAGAGTGAGAACCGCAGTAGCTGCCCAAAAGTGATTCACGCTCGCGAACGCCAATAGCAATATTAACAAATAGAAAATAGTTTTCGCATTGCCGCCAGACATACCATTAGAGAATTTAAATAATTTAATAAGGCAGCCGCAAGTGTTTTCGAAAGTGCAAAACGACAGCCCGCTACGTTTGCGTCGGCTCAAACTCTTGACTGCGCGTGTGCATGCGTGTGTGTATGTGTTTGTGTGAAAGGAGAAGGAGAAGCAACACAAAAAAAAGTGTACAGACGACGCGCAGACGCAACGATCTGCAGTGGCTAATTAAAAGTACCGAAAAACGCGAGTGAAAATTAATTAATAACAGGCGCAATTTTCGCCAAAAATCAGATCACGAGTTGGTTAACAAGCAGCAAACAGCGATAATAACAAAATGGGTTGTGCCGTGAGTACAGCACGAGATAAAGAAGCCATCGAACGTTCCAAAAACATCGACCGGGCGCTCAGAGCCGAAGGAGAACGCGCCGCCTCGGAGGTTAAACTGCTGCTCTTAGGTGCGTCCCCCCCCCAGAACTTTCCAACACCTATGCACTAACTAGGGCATTTAGTCGGTGTCCAAAATTGCGACGCCATGCACTAATATTGGTGAACTACTTTCCAGTGGGGTGGGTTTCGCCATTTGGATGAAAGCCGTTGCAATGCGGGCTTATTTAACGCGCCTGACTAAATGCTGTTATTTTATTTTTTTTTTCAATCGAATCGAATGTTTTTCGTGTGCAACTCGATGCTCGATTCATCTTTGCCAGTGGTAGTCTGGCATTATGCAATGCACATGTCTAATAATTCGATTGCGATAAGAAATTGAAAGTAAATTGAAACCAAATGTCGGCTGCGGCGGCTCTAACAAGTGGGGCGCCATCAATCGGCTTGCCAATGGAAACATGTTTGTGCTGCGGTTCTTTTTACATATACAAAGAAGAAGACGTATGTGTGTGCGTGTGTGTGTGTGTGTGTGTGTGTGTGTGATGAGTGGCACTTGCTGTTGGGTTTCTTTTGGTGAGAAATGTGCATTGAGGCGTTGCGACGCCATTATTTCAACTTTGACCTCTGCCACTAGCAGAGCGCTTGCGCAGTGAAATTGAACGCCGCGTCGCGTTTTTGGCCTTCTGCAATTAAATTTCTATGCAAACGGCAAGCCGAGAAATTATCTGTGAGTGCACAGCCCAGTTTTCATTCGTTCATTCAATGTTGCAAACAATGCAATGGATTTTCCAGCTTTTCAAGTAGCAGTCCAACGGCAACTCGGAGGCTTTTGCTAATGAAGCGGCGCCCCGTTCGCTCGCTGATGACTCAAAAGGGGCTGACGAGCGGTTAAAGATCGCAGCGCGGGGGAGGGTTGCGCGGGAGGTACATTCGACATGCCAGTTAAATGATATTTGCGCGAAATGAATTCACAACACTCGTCAACAAAAAAAATCTGCTGCGACTACAACCA